TAGTAATGACCGGTTACATTCATGCACGCGGCGTACACATTATAATATATAATATTATATATACGTAGCTTTTAATCCACTGATCTGGATGAATTGTGCCATATATTTTATTAGAGGTTGTTTACCCGCGACTCTAGACGAAGGCAGTAAGTGTTTAACATAATACATATCTGTAAGTATATTATAAAAATGATGACCACGTTTGTTGGGCCTACATACATATATAGTATATACACACATACAAAACTCCTATAGTTTCCTAGACTCCATACTCCATAGTACCTACCTATTATAATATATATTATTACAAATAACAAATATACCTATGATTTGTCTATACATATACTTATAATATCTTATGTATGATGCATTATTGCCCATCGCAGCGTATATCTAGGGGTATCTATATGCAACGAACGTGCATTATTATTATACTCATTATGAGCCTCCAGAGACTATATAATATCCACAGCTGCAAACACATTTAGAAATCAATTGATACGTTTAAATTATGTAATAAAAAACGAAGAATTTACATTTTTTTTTTTTTAGAATATAGTAATTTTATGAATCAATAAAAACGTTCTGGTTCTGACTTATTTCTTATACATGGTTATGAATAAGCATATTAAACAAATACCTATATAAACACTGCTATACAATCAAATTTTTCTAATTGAACCTCATAAAAAAGATAAAACTGAAATGTTTAAAATCAATTTAGATGTTAAAGTAATAACAATATAACATAATAGCTATTAAAGTAGACAATTATTATTTTCTTTATATAATTTTTATACACATAATAGAATGTAATATACATATATATATATTAATTATATTTATTTGATTTTGGTACTTATACATATGGTGTTAAAAAAGGAAAAATAACACGTTCGATAACACTGCAAAGGTTCACATTATAATACTATACATAGTTGAACATTTTTATCTGTTAATTATTTCACCGTTCGTATATATCAAAGCAAATGGTTATGATATTTAATTGCTAATAACCTAGTAGTCTGGTAGTAGAACAGGAGTAAAACAATATTACCATGTAGTTGAATATTTATATTACATTTATATATACCCGTTTATTACGTTAGTTAATTGATTAGGTAACATTAATGTTATTTGGTTTATTTTTAATCCGAAATAATAGTCAATAGAAGATAAATATTCAAATAAAACAAATAATAAGGCATCCCGTTAACATAATAAGGTTACCGCTATACTATTAGGTACTATRATATATACATTTAATTTACTGATTATAACATATTAAAATTAATGATATAAATGAAATAATATATTTATTTAATCATAACTAAGTCGTAAAATTAATAATAATTATTAAAAATTGTCGAATTTATAAAACATAAACCATAATAGCCATTTCAGATTCTGGTTTATTATTATTATAGWAATAATTATTGTAATAAAAYGTTTCGATTATTTTTATTATTTCCATTGATATGAACCAGGTATAATAGAGTAGTTATACTTATTATTGTTTTATGCCTACTTAAAACTATTAAAATGCGAGATGCAATATTTAGTATTTCGACTGTAAGTGAAAATATATTTTGTGTGATTCATGACAAAATTTAGCTATATTATTGTAAATAGTTTTACAAATATAATATGCTTCCAAAACATTAAATATATATATATATATATATATTATAGCATAAAATACAGTTTTTAACTTTTTAATAATTTTTAAACGTGTATGTTAATTTAATTTAATTATTTTAATTTGATCATAATTATTATTTGGCGATGATTAAAGTTTAAGTAGCAGGTTATATACCTAATTATAGCTGCAAATTTATGAATGACTTTGTTGCATATCTACATAATTACAATTCACAACAAGGTTGCAATGATTCCATGTTTCCATATTATAGTGAAATTAATTTATAGATTTTATAGTTTAAAAAAAATATGATTATGAATAATAATGATAATAATATTATTAAAATTAAATCATATTTCATATTTAGAACTGAAATTGACAAATATATATTTATTTGTTAATTATGCGTTTATGTGTCCGTGCGTAAAGATCCAATTATATAGAATGTAATATACAAAAAAAAAAGTTTACTTATATATATATATATAAAATTACTACAGATTGTATAATATTATTGTAGTGATTTTATGAAGATGAATAATAGTCCAGATATACATTAATAAAATAAAATGTAAAAGTAGATAGGTACTTATGGCTGCATACGAGTTCCWTCCCAAAATACGAAAATATACATCGCGATATCCGAGTTGCATCCGTGGTTTTTGCACAACATATCTATTCTGAGTTGCGTCCTCAATTTTTTCGCGACAAGTACGAGTTGCGTCCTGGTTGATAATTGATTAATTGGTTAATAGTATACATATCTATACGCCATATACATATTTTCCTTCCCACTTTTACAGACTGAGGACTGCCATTTGTATAAATGGTGTGGTTTAATGATGTATTGTAATTAATGATTCTATATATTAAATTATTTATTGTTCTAAAATGAAATGTTAATTTTATGAAATGCTGTAGTTAAAAGATGTAATTGTATATTATTTTATAAAATGGGTAAATTTTTGTATGCCGATTTTTGAACGAACTAAGACGTGTTAAATTTGTGTTGATTTGTCGAACAATGGAATGTCGAAGTGTGACTGATGTCTGATGCTAACATGAACAGAATTAATTTCCAACAATTAATTGTAAGGGTGTATTTATAATTTCTCGGACAGATAATAAGGTATCGATAATTGAGATATTTATAGCATTTACGAGTTTATCACCTAACATATTATTCTCAGTCGCTGAAAAACCTGTGGGCGCAACTCGGACAAAATATCATTTAGGGACGCAATTCGAATGCACCGGTACTTATGTACCTATACATCTACAGTTATTTGGGAAAATGACTATATGTATATTTTGTATATTATATATATGGTTTATAGTAGATCAAAAATCACTCAGCACACTTTAACCTACTAAATGATATATCTACCTATATACAGTCTTATAACAAATCTATGAGTATTTAAAATTGCAGGATTTGGACATAACTATATTTTGCACACCTGTCTTACGAGGGAGCACCCTTCCGGTCTTGTAGGGTTCCCACGGTTAAATGGTATAGTTACTAATAATACAAATAAAGTAAAACGATCACATACACACTTATATAACTGTCCCTTTTTATTTTCGAATATTTACCGTCACGCGATTTTCGTATTTATCGTTACAATTGTAGATATAAATTGCGCTTTTTTTWAAAAAAAAACTTGCATATACTTATACCTACATAATATACATACATAGATACGTGTAGGTTCCTAATCGAATTCTAACATAATATACTATGTTGATAAAATAATATATAAACCTACCTATACCTATAACGTATGCATATAATATTCGTAAGAACCATACAGCTGTACCTATATCCATAATATATCAACTATACTAGTTTCATCAAACTATAATAGGCACATTATTATATTATATCACAATGGTACTATGTATATTTATGTTTGAAAAATAAAAATATGTATACATATACATGTACCATATATTATACTAAACCATTATATATATATATATTGACACATTATATATTTAAATTTTTCCTGATATAATGGCGCACCTAGCCTCTGAACTTATATCACAATAATAAAGAACCAATCGTAGTACACCACGACCCTCATAACTATATAAATACTCACGATTTATATATAAGTATAAAATACGATATGTAGGTACTTAATCAAAATCATAAAACTATTTAATTTTAATTCGGCAATATATATGTATATATTATATWTCTTATACAATTATACATATAGAATATATAGATATCTCCTGAAAATGTATACCTACAGATTGATGTAAAATTTTAAAATGAATTAATTTCTAACACAGATTTATAATATAATATATACCGCAATAATAGCAGGTTTCACTATAAGTTAATATTTTCTATAAAATTTGGTATGATCTAAAAATAAATCTAAATATGTTACTGCAMAATTATGTCTATATTATACGAATTAAAAATCTATTCATTATCAATTTTATATAGGTAGGTATTTATAATTGTCCAGCTATAGATCTTGTTACTAGGGTTACCTGCTATATTTAAATCGATGTACCTACATGTTATGTAATTGCGTTTTGCGTTAATAATCACGCGAAAGGGGTTAAATTAAAACATTTTTCGTGAGAATATATTATTATATATAATATATAACTATTAAATTTTCAATTTCACACGCTAATAATTTAGTTACATTCATCACAAGATTGAAATTCGAATTGGTTTTATTACTATACATAATTCCATATTATTGAGAAAAAAACGTTTTTAATAAAATGTAGTAAATCATGAATATTATTATACAATATTAATTGGGTACCCACCCTAATCATAAAATAACTTAATACCCTAAAACTAAACGTAAAAAATGCCGATACACTGCCGTCGTATATATAGTGCTTGATATTATATACCTACGTACAAGTTCCAACTTAAAATTTAGTATGATATGTACCTAAGTTATAAGCATCATGATATAAATAAGTCCAATATATTTAGATTGGTAGGTATACACATTTTTGTTTTCGCATTCTTATACCGCGATGCTATATACTGCAATATTAATGTATTGTGCATTAATTTTCTATTAGGTATATGATGATTTTATATAAACATAATTAGCCAAGTGCAGTTAACAAAATACCTATTATATATCACTTTATATACCTAAATGTACGTATACCTATACATYCAAAACAAAATTGGTGAGGGATTTAAGAAAACGCTCAATGTAAAAAAATCTTCTACATATACAGTATACTAGTATACCTGCAGACATTTTTTTATGTTTTTTGTTTTTTTTTTTTGCTGCAAAATGCAAATATACCTATTTTTACGCCTAAAGATTACAACTATAATAATTTATTGTATGAAACAACTAACCTTTTTTGCAGGGCGATCCAGTTTCGGAGGCGCTGTCATCGCTATGATTGCCTGACATTTTAATAATCATGTGCTGTTGCTGCTGTTGTTGCTGCTGCTGCAGCAATAATTGGTGCTGCTGCTGCTGTTGCTGTTGCTGTTGCTGGTGATTGTGTTGCAGTCGTTTTTTGCTCGCGGGTTCCGAGTTGGGCCGGTGGTGGAGGTGTTGGTGTTGGTGTTGGTGTTGGTGTTGTTGTTGTTGTTGGTGCACGGCGGCGGACATTACGTGGCCAGCGATCGTGTTGTTCCTTGCTGCGGCGGCTGCTGCTGCAATCGCATATCGCTGGGCGGCCGCGTGCTCGACGTGGTGCTGCTGAAGAAACGGCGAAAGGCCGGCGGCCGCAAAACTGGCCGCGGACGCCATACCATGCGGGAAACGGGCTGCAAAATGTGGGAACAGCGGATGCGGCGGCATCTGGACACCTCCTGTACCGCCACTAGACTGTTGCCCTGCGCCACCGGATGTGGCCGTGGCCGCGGCCGCGGCAGCCGCGGCGTACAGACGTAACGACGGAGACGCTTGTCCCGAGTCCAACACCATCATCGCGCGAGTACGTTTTTAAAACACTCGTATGACAATAAAAACAAAAACGGCGATAACAACAGTGTAGGATATAATATATTTATATTAATTTATTATAACTGCAGAGTCGTTCGAACGCGGCAGCGACGACGAACACGAACACGACGGCGGCACTGTGCAGACGACGACTATTACGCGGCGACGGCGACCGGACGATTGTGATGTGGCGCGGCGCGACTGCAGACGAGCGCACGGTACGGCATCGGCGCGGCTATTGAATATAGTTAACACCTATTTTTCGGTGCCTCCGCGCCGGCCCGGCCCGCCCCAATACACGCGCGCACCACCGCCGCCCCACCATCAGACGCCACGGGCACCGCGAACACCCATATACCGTAATGCAATAAGCGTATATTTGTGTGTATGTGTTGTGTGTGTACGCGCCGACTAAATTGCCGGGTAATGATGGCGAGCGGTTCTCCCACTGCTGACGCCGCAGCCGACGCCGTCGCTCATTGATTCGTTCGCTCCGGACCCACACACGCCTCGAGTGGCCTCCGAAAGACACGCCCACCGCCGCCGCCCGGGACACCGGGACGGCCGCCGTCGCGTCGGTTATTGCCCGATATAGCACCACGCCGCCACCGTCAAAGGGACCGCCGTTGCCGCGCGCGCGCGTGATGATGATGATGATGATGATGATGATGATGATAATATCGTTGTTGTTGTTGTAATGTAATAATTATCTTCAATTTGTACTTTTCGGTAAACGCACCGAAATATTAAAAGCCCACAAAACCATAGAAGTATATAATAGTCAGTATAGGTATAGAGTACTGCAGGACTAATATAAACTGACTTATAAATAATAGTATACATTATTATATGATGAGTATA